GCTGGGCCGGCCCGGCCACTTAGGTTGTTTACAAAAGCCCAGCAAACCTAACAATGGGAAAATTCCAAGACGTTGGGCACCAAAACGGACGCTAGTGCTCAGAGCATTGGGCTTTATTTCTGCATCAGCCGAGAGCCACTAACACTAATGGCTGCCTTCCTATTGACCAGTCTGCTGGGTCGTGGGGTAAGAACGTGTTGACGTACCCTCCCAAGTCCCGATGGCTGATGGGATTGGAAGGCCATGGGCAGCTGCCCATGGCTTGTTTGTCTTCGACGAATAGCTCGCGATAGTCTTCATTTCACATGGCAACAACTAGAGGAGACAACACAATATGAAACGTGAGCAGCGCGTCCGACACCGCGTCTTCTACCTATCTAGGTAGTTTTCAGGGACTGCTATTCTTTTTTAGTTCTAGCGAGGAACACTGAGCCGTCCCAAAATTGTGGAAAACTACACGCCATGGCATAATGGAGTCGCCTCACAATGGATATCTCAACTGGCTTCATCCTGGCGCGTGTTTGTCCATTCTCTGGAAATTGACGATTTCCAGGGAAACCATTCCGATTGATCCCTAGTTATTCTCGACAAGCGGAAGTAGCAAAACGCGGTAAAAAGACGATTTTCCAATGAAGAAGAAACCGAGCCGAGCTACGGGTCGGCTCTGAATAATAGATGCCCCAGGCAAGAGGTTTCTATCAGATAAGGTATTCTGGCCTTTGAGACACCATTCTCGGAACTTACAAGTAAAGTCCCAACGAGTGCCGCCGTTTGCGAACCATCCCACACAAATCCCGTTCTTGACTGCAAGAACCCATCGATATCACGTCTCAAGCCTCTGTTGTCGTCCGATTCACCTGCGGAATCTCCAATAGCTCATCAGCCAAGAGATGTTGCCTCTCTTGATCATGCACTGAGACTTCGATGCTTCCGTCACTGTGGGTGGCTGGGGAAGACGGCTGCGACTCAGCTCCCACGCGCTCCTACTGCACGCCCTCTACGACCCTAATTCTAACCACTAGGCTCATACGCCTGATCTCATGGATCCACTGTGCTTCGCGGTTGCATAATGGGCCGCTCATGGTGCTTCTCTTTTGAGCACTTTGTTTTGTCGGTGTGTTACGCGTGCGCGTCCTCTCCCTAGCCGACCAGGAAAATGTTAGGCACCTTACTTTTCTATACCCTGCTGACTTGCTCTTTGACAGATACCAGATGGTCTACGGAGTAGCGTCATGGCTTCGACTGATCTATGGTCCAAACACCTCGTGCTTGGTATGCATCTGGGTCCATGCTTCAAATCCGAGGACCCTTCTCGCGTAACGGAAAATATCACATCAGACACTGGATCCAGAATGAAAGACTATTTATCTGGAATGCTTTCTGAATCTCGATGGTTGCATCATGAACACACGCTTGTGTTCTATGCCGATGAAGCATTTAGATTCCCATCTGCTTGTCCAAGTATTACAATCTTATCACTTGGTTCAATTGGCAAGTGTGCGAGCATCTTTGCTGCTACCATGGATCTCCGGATCTTTTTCCGGGAGGGTCAAGTTGGGTAAACAGCCAGCGCTTTTCAAAACTGCCCAATCTGTCACGACATCCAATCATTTAAATAGGGCGAGCGGTTTTGGGGCTTCATTCGCCCAGAAGGCAGACCTGCTCGGCCTGCTCCATTCCTAAACAGCTTGGCCAGGTTATCAGGCCTGCGCTTCGTGCATGCAGTTTAGCCAGTTCTGGTCATCCATAACCCAAGTGGGCTATGCAGCGTATCCTTGACGATTCAGAACTTTGAAACCCATGCATGGCTACAGAAATGTACGTTTTGGTCATCTCGAGAGCCTCATCACCTTTTGAGACAAACGGGTTCAATGAGACAGGGCCTGCTACGACTCTGAATGGTCTCCTCATCGCAGCATCAACGGTATTGCCCACCAATGCCGATGTGAATCCGATATGAGGGCCGCCCAGAGTCTTTGCCCAACTACCTCAGCATATCCCATTGGTGAGCATAGGGATACCGCCATTATGACTCGAAGAGAGGATGCGATTTTCGGGCACTCACTCTAGCCCCCACGACAACGCAGAACCTCTCTAATTCAGCCATTTCGGTTTCAGAGGCACATGCTTTTCAGTTCCCCTGATCTAACGCAATATTGATTCCAATACTGTATCATATTCGTTCTGTATCTGGTATGAAGGACAACCGGGAGATATTCTGGGTACTATTCGTGACGCAGCCTTTCCGCATGACACTCTTTCTAGAACAGGAACAACAGTGCAGGTCTTGCTAGTGCTAGACTCTCATCTTTGATATCGCGTTGTTCTTTGTGTCTCCCTCCATTTCACCTTCACCTATCACCCATCATTCAGGGCTCATTCTGACCGAGAGTGGCCCAGTTGCGCTGATAACTTTACTACGGCCTGAGTCACTTTGCGCACTCAGAGAATTCCACTAGCTCGTAGGAGAAGAGCTTAGAACACTGACTGGTTACCTCTCTTCAAGTTATCAAGTGGCGTAGGGTATCTCCCGAAAATGCGGTCTGGATCCCTGTCCGAGTTTTGGGCCCACGTTCATCGTATGTGAAGAGATTTCCAGCAGAACGATCCACCGTTCTGGATTTTGCTGCTTCTTCGCAAGGATTCCAGGCTCTTGACAGCGTCAGCCTCAACGAGTATCATGTCATATCACGAGGCTGCGGCTGGGAATCCAGGAGACAGAGGTGCCCTGTGTCTATAACCCCCGCGCCTTAGTATTCGATATCTGAAACACTCACGGACATCAGCATGATGAAATTGTCTACACCATAATCTCACTAAGGGATTAAAAGTTGGCACATGCGGTATTCCAGGATCAAGATTCGCCGACAATGCAACTTGGTAACCCAGAAATGTTAACGTGGGACAGGTATGTCGCAGCCGACAAGCTGCGATGACGCTCACAACATCTTGGAACAAGGAATCTCACGTTCCCTTCTGGAGGACGAAACAGACATAGTTGTCTTTATATGGACTAGTCTTGTTTTGCAAGTGCAATTTGGACCCCAATCAAGTGTATTTTGCGAAGCTGGGGTATCATGTGCATATCAACATACCGAATACTCTGAAGTGAAGGCACTGATAGCAACTGGTCTCCAAGCTATCCATGGAACCTTACTTCTCGAACACGGCAGTATGTATCAGTCAAGCATGGAAGCTAAGATTGTAAAACTACGGTCCATGAGATCATCTACTTTGCTGTTTTAGATAAAGTCACACATCTTGTATAGCAAGTGTTAACTAGGTACTTTTAGTGTCTGACACTGGGGTCGGCCAGTAGATCACCATCTCTCTCAGGAGTTATTCAAGTACCATCAAGAGCACTTGATAGCCGTGCCTTCTGGGTAGCATCACGAACATCACGCCGGACATTCTGCCGGGTCAACTAACCAAGATCTGATACCTTGAGCATCGTCAAGTGCATGAAGACAAAGAAATACTAGGACTTGAGCTTGAGTGTATTTGACCTTGGCTCCAGATACGAAAGGGACAATCGTTTCTTTTTCCTATCCAGAGAACGACCAGCAGTGAATATGGTAGAGAGAAACCTGGTGCTTTTTGCTGCATCCCGGACACGACCCTGACAGCTGAGAAGGGACCTGTCAGCCACTTGATCTCATGAGCGGGTATGTTTCTGAAACAAGTGGCTTAGACAAAAGGCTGGGCCTACAAGGTTTTGACAGAAGGAAGCGGGGGTACCCAGGTAGCAGGCCTAGACGAGTTGAAGGATGACAGTTCCAATATCCAACAGCTCTCTACGACAGTATCTTATCCTATGACCATGCAGTCTAGAATGCGCAATCACGGGAATTAATGGGCAGCATCGGAGTTATCCGGGCGAAAAGGATATCGGTCCCAGAATGCATAAACGGGCTGCGCCACCAGGACCTCAGATACACTATTAGACTTGGCAATACTCCGTGTCTAGCATAACTGACGGATAATATCTACATCCCGATCTTTTCTTTCCATACGAAGCTGGTGGTACATATAACCAAGGGAAGTTGTCGGAGATGCATTCAGGCCCGCGGCATCGAGAACTTCTGGTGTAGATATCCCATGCACAAACACAGCACCACATCGCGATCATGAACCAGAATCACATCGACAGTTTAGTCCTTAGTTGAACCTATCTGACGCTAGGTTCTGGTGAGTGCATTGGGAAAGCAGCCTGGCCGTACCTAATAAATGGGCTCGCGGTGTCATTGTGTCGTGAACATCGTTACACTGGTAACTGGTGCCTTGGACACACATCACCCTTGTTGGTGGCTTTTCAAATTATCGTCAGCCATATCGTCAGCCATATCGTCAGCCAAATCGTCAGCGGGTATTCTACGCCATGTCCTCAGTTTCGTTCTCACGGTTAGCTATTGATACCATGGGGCCTCGTGCTTTGTCATTGACGATAGGTTCTGATACTACACTATTGAGACCGGGTTTATCTATCTCTGCCTTGTAAGAAAATAGCTCCAGTTCATATATATACTCCTATCATCAGATCTCTGTGCCTTTGTCCCTCAGAGGACCTCCACAATCTGGGACGGCCTGCGTCACTCGAAATCGTCGCCTCTTGTAAGCGCCCATACCAGGTGTGTCCATCAGTCACACAACAAGAGATCTCGTAATTGAGTAGCAAATCCGCTTCGGTAGATGCTCCTATCACAAGGGCAACGATAGCACAGTGTGCGTCATGGTTCAGATGTTGATGCTCGCACACGATTCGCCCAGTGTATCGCCGTTGCGTGCAAACTCCTCTGTTGTGGTCTCGGAGAATGCAGTTATAATACGAGACAGGGATGCGTTTTCTCAACACACTAAGTCGTATGCATCTGCGCCCATTCATATCTTCAAGACTAGATCCGAAGCAGTGAGATAGAAAAGCCTATTAGCAGCTTCTTGGCTCGTTCTTCGTCTTTTTAGAAAAAGAATGAGACTCGGCATTCAGTCGAACATCTTTCGATATGAAGTTGACGAACTTCCCTATACTCATTCCTGCCTTCACAGCTCAAGTATGTTGGGACTGTAGTTTTCTTCGCCTCTTGTATATATCACTGTGGATTTGTCTCCAGCACAAAGCCTGTGCCTTCAAACCCTACCAACACCGTGTTTCTCTACCCAGCGATTTACTCCCATTCAGCATAGATTCACGTATCACTAATCACTAATTCTTTGGATGATAGATCGCCATAAATGATCCTCTAGTCATCACCTCTAACCTCCTCAACATCCCCTTTGTTCCCAAGGCGGGTACTCTCGTCTCTGAGCCGGGATATGAGCTTCCTCTAGAGGCGACGTTCATCCAGGGCGGCGACTTTATTCGGCGTGATCCTGATGGCCAATGGGTCAAGCTTGAAGTAACAAGTGTTGCGCGTGATACTTCTGGCTCCCTGTTGCGTTTTAGCTACAATGGAGTCGTCAACATGGCGGGAGATGAGGGGAAAGTGATTCGAGGAGATACGAATGCCACGACGACTGGCTTTGGAAACGCATGTGAGTCACCGGGTTCTATGACATGGTTGTCGACCTGACGTTGAGCCACCATCCTACCCACATTGTTTTCAGCTGTTGTGGGACAACTCTGGACTTGACACTGACGATGTCAGTTGTGCAGATTAGGTTCGAGACTGATGCTCCTGGGTTGAAACTTCTGCAGGACAAGTTGTATGTTGGCTCGGGAAGGTTCGTTATCGAGGAAGATCGGCCAGTCATTGTGGAATACAAAATCAGCGAGGTAAGCGCGCAGTGCAATAAGGGATCGAAGAATGACTGAAAGGCATGACGGGACGAGATATCGGTTAGCCCGGGTATGAATCGATTAATCTGATAGCAGGAATCTATGAGTTGACAGGATGGGTCACGTTCGTGATTTTCTACACTATGTTGCTTCAGTTTTCGGAATCTATTTGTGTTTGGGGACCTAGAAACAAGCCTCACATCGATAGGTCAAGGTTCCTACTTCGCATGTCTACCACCTGCCGTGCCCCCTTAATAGTCAAGCTCCCTCGAAGCTCCAAGTCGTGGCTCCCGAACTCCAGTCTGCAGCTCTTTTACAACTGCAAGTATATGCTTTATCGTGCGGTCCCATTTAAGCGGCCTGGTTTATCAACATTCCGACTCCAGGTTGGATACAGGCCCTCCAGGTTGTGTATATGGGAGTCGATCCACAGGATCAATACCCCATCTTCTCCGCCTTTCGTGTTACGCTACACCGGTACTAGTCCACGCTTATTGGGGGACATTGGAAAGCTGCAGAAGGCGCTCGCCGGCGCGGATGTTGGCATACTCATATGCCTTGGACTCGGGAGGGAAAGTTCCATTGGCGGCCCAAAGATCGATCAGAGGCTGCATGGGCTCCAGCTCAGCGGGCTTGAGCATATCCAGAGCCGTAGCCGTCAGGATAAAGTGTGAGAAACAACTGTTGAGCTGCTTCTCCAGGTTGAGATGGTAAAATGGCTCGGTGAAATGAGCCCAGTAGAGATGAGCATAGACTCGGAACATTTGTCGGAAAATCATCTGGCAGATATCGACGAACTTATCAGGGAAGCCCGATCGCTTTCCGATGTACTCGGGCTCGCCAGGGTTCGAGAGTTGGGACAAAGGTGTGGTGGTGATAGAGGGGTTGTGGGCGTACGAGACACCAGAAGCATCAGTTGGGAAGATGTTGGTGTCGTCGATTTTACCAGAAATCCATCGCTGCATAAGAGTCATGTACTCATAGGCGGGAAGCTCAACAGGCTCCCTGTTACGGTTGAGCCAAGTAAAGGAGTGGTTACTAGCAAGAGTAAGTGACTGTATGGTCTGGCAAAGAGTGCTGATAACTCACGCTCCAGCAGACATGCGTGGGCAGCTGGTAGAATTGCAGATGGATGTACCATCATCCTCCTTCTCGTGGATAACTCTAACAAAATTCCACAGGTTGCGGTAATGCTCAACAACTGAACAGCGTTAGGACCCGTTGTGATATCATAGTTTCATTCTTACCCTGGTGTGCAATCCACTCGCCTTGCTCGACCGTCTTGGGTCGAGCACTCAGTGTCATGAAATTACCCTTTACTATGTGCTTAGCATATTGGGCATTGAGCCACAGAGGGAGAGGTCGAGGAAGATGATAGGAAGAGATTAGTTCGTCACCGCTCATGACGCCGCTGGAGTCATCCATGCCAATGGTCTGGGCGAGTGAAGGAGAGTTAGGCAAAGGGGGGACCTTGGGAGCTAGACTAGCTGAGGAAGACTGGCTCCCTTGGGTAGGCAGCTCAGGCGGGGGAGGCTGACTGGCAGTAGAACCAGTTGGGCTCTTTTGAGGGCCAGAAGAAGGCTTAGCTGAGCCACCTCGGAATCGAGCGTTACTGGTGATGTTATGTCAGCAAATGTAAATAGGTAATGAGATGGATGCTATCGCAATAGGACCGAGTTGAGGAAGGAATAAAAAGGTCACTTCAAGTCAGCAACAAGGTGCAGGTAAGTTAAGGTACCTGAGGTAGTAGGTAGGAGAGCACCTATCCATGGATGTGACAGCACACTATGCTTGAAATGGCACACATGGTTGAAACACTGGCAGGTCCGCCCATGGCAGCCGCAGAAAAGCGCCATGCGTGGCGCCCTTGCAAGGGAGAGGAATGATGATAGGAAAGGTATAGTAGGTGAGTAGGTAAGGATGATGACGATATATGAGTGAGGAACTATCCATCATGTCCAATAGGCACTACCAGAGAATGCCCATTATGACGAGGGTTTTTTATAAGAGTGGCCAGTTTCTCGTAAAGAATCCTAAAGCAACGTCTTCAGAGGCTCAAAGCAATGAATGTTTCCAGCTCATGAACCTTTGGGCCATGTCTTGGACGAAGTACTAGTGTACTAGAGGACCACATGGTGAGAGTCTGATTGTGTACAGTTGGCCTTCAGTCTCTCGGTAGTTGTCCTGCACTGCGACAAGGAGTGCGCAAGGGTGTTGACTCCAGGTTCGAGTGTATCCGAAATGAAGAATTTGCATGCAATGTTGCACTCGCATAGGAGTAGAGGGTCGTGGCTGGTGGATATAGGTATTTTACCTCTACAAGAGGTGGCGGCTCTTTTAGGATTTATGATAAAGACATGACAAGAACAGTGGCAGAATCCGGAGACAGGCCACACAGAAGCGACGCTGACAATGAAGATCCAATGACGAGCAAAGACAAATTGAGATGATACTGATGAAGAATAAGAATATATACTCACATGCCAGAAAAGAGGTTCGACATGGTTGACAGAAAGGCGGGGTGAAATCGTGAGCAAAGGTGCCTGAAAAGGATTCCACGAAGGCTTCCCAAACAGAGGGAGAATGCGCTCAAGTCGGTATTAAGGTGTGTTCGGTGACTGGCTTAAGCGGTCGTTGGTATTGTCTTCCGCCTGGCTGAGACTGCGTGTTGTTGTCAGGATCAATATCAGATCAAATCCGATATCAGCAGCTGGAGTCGGTTTGAGAAAGGGGGTTTTTGAGGTGTCGGTGTCGGGGCTTGGGCTTCCCAGGTTGATGAATAGCGGCTAAGTACCCCGTAGCTTTAGCGGATGAGCGCCACAACGGGGCCTCACGCTAGTGCATCGCATCCATCGCATCCCGTCTCCAGAAGCCTCCCTGCTCGTCTCACGCGACTGGCTCTGTTTGTCACCTGAAGCGCGCCATGCCCGTTTCAGAGCATTCGAAGGGGACCATCTTGACACTCCTGCCATTTCTCGGCCACCTTCTCCTCCTCTCAAACCTCCTGGGAGTCCTGGGCACTGTTCCTTCGTTCTCGTCTCCACTAACTTGAGGCAGAGAGCTTGAGGTTGCCATCTGTTTATGTGTGGCACAGATTGTGGCTGTGGATATCGACAAAACGGATATTGCAGTGGCTGGCGCACCTACTCTCCCAACCTCAGGCCTAGGTACCTAACGTTAGTTACCTTACCTAGTGCCACAATCAGCTAAACGGATCCACGGTCGCCGAAAGTAAAGCGCGACTGCAAGCTCACTTTGCGCGCAAACCAACCGCTTCTTTCACTGTTCCCTTCCATTGCTTAATTCATCCTCCGTCACCACAAAGAACTCACAACATGTCCGACATAGAGGACCCAATTGACTCAGTCGACGAAGGCGGCGACGACCTCTTTGGCGATGATGACAACGATGATGTCGTACCGACCAAGGAGCCTGTCCATGAGGATGATGAACTTGCTTCGGATCCAGAAGGGGACAGCTACGCGCGGTATCGCAACGATGACGACGACCAGACTCAAGTCCAGACAAAAGAACGAGCTATTCAAAACGTCGAAACTTATCGGCATCGAATTCCGAAGCCTAAAGATGGCGCGGTATGCATTTTTCTTACTTGCTCTGAAAAGCCGCCTGGCGCTGACTTTGAAGGTATAGCTTCGAATTCTACGGATCCCCAAGTTCATGAAGATAATGCCTGAAGTGTACGATCCCGAGACGTTTGAACCGACAGAATTCGACCTGGCAAATGCTAAAGCTGAACATCCTAAGCATGTCGCCCGAGTACGAAAAGATCATGGCACCGGTGAATTCAAGAGTAATACAAACATCTTTCACTGGAGCGACGGCTCAGTGACCATATCCGTTGGCGGAGAGCACTATGAGATCCAGAGAAAGGCGCTCGCCCCACCACCAGACAAGCCCTACAACGAGGTCAATGATGGTCACTACTACGCTGCTGCCGCTGAGTTGCACAGCAACATCCTTATGACGGTTGGGCATATCACAGAGCAATACAACGTTCGACCCAACAAGGCAGTTGGAGATGACGCGCTGACTCTCCTAGCTGAGAGGATGGCTGTCGCCAGTAAGCCTGCGAATGCAACTGACATGATCATCCAAACTACTGTCGACCCCGAACTCCAGAAGAAACAGGCCGAATTGGCTGAGAAGGAAAGAATGAAGGCACAGAGGCGACGCGAGAATGCTGCCGCCAAGATGGATGGTGGGTATGGGCGATCACGAGGAGGGCTATCTATTGGGGACCTTGAAGGTGGACGCCGAGGCGCGGCAGGCTCTCGCAAGCGCGGCGCACCTGGGTCGGGCAAACCTAGAAGGCGAAGAGATGAGGAATCAGACGAGGAGCTCGAGCATGCTGTTGGTCGGCATGAAGGCTATTCCCTCGACGATGGTTTCATCGTCAACAGCGACGAAGAAGTGGAAAGCGGAGGCGATGATGACGACGAAGATGACTTTCCCGATGACGACGAAGAGGAGAAGCCTCGCTCCAAACGTCAGAGGACAAGGGATCGCAGTGAGGACGAAGATGATCTCAGTGAAGTTGAACAAGTGGCAGGAAGATCCCGCAGGAGAAATGTCATCGATGATGATGACGACTAGAATGGACATCTGGAGTTTCAGAGACAACGGGATGGGTATTTGCATGGTGAGCAAGGGAGGCCATTGCTGCATAATATGATTATATCAAAACTGTCTCTAAGACATAGTATCTCAAAAATTGGTTGTTTTTGTATTATATTTTAGACTTTTGGGGGTAACAACAGCAAACCACATCCTTAC